TTTAGGAAGATATGTGCTCATACATAAAATGCTGAACAATTTGGCTAAAGCAACAGATACTTTACCTTAACATAGGCATGTAAGCAAAATTGTTCCAAATGTTCTTCTACAGCAGATGGGATTCCACTCTTAGCTCTGGCATCTGCATGATGCCCAGACTTTTCCTGTGGAGTTTGAATCTGAAGTTTAAATTTGAAAAATCTTAATCCTGTATCAGTTGGGTACCAATTTATAGCATTTCAAACTTATTTTCCATTATTTCTTTTCATGAATATTATACTCCAGATGAACAGAACACTGTTTGCCTAGTATATCTGCATAGCTCCCTTCCTATTTCACTAAACCTATCTTTTTTTTAAATATATATTTTATTGATTTTTTTACAGAGGAAGAGAGAGGGATAGAGAGTTAGAAATATTGATGAGAGAGAAACATCAATCAGCTGCCTCCTGCACACCTCCTACTGGGGATGTGCCCACAACCAATGTACATACTCTTGACAGGAATTGAACTGGGACCTCTCAGTCCAAAGGCTGACTCTCTATCCACCGGGCCAAACCGGTTTTGGCTAAACCTATTTTTTTTTGTCCAGACAATGTTATCTTCTTTATTTCCCCAATCTGGTATCTATTCCTTTCTCTATTCTATCTTAGCATTTTATATATATCTCAGGTTGGTTTTTTTTTTTTTATCATTTTCTGCATTGAATTAAAGTTATTTATATGTAGATGCTATCTCTATACTATAAGTTTCTTAAATATAGAAGCTCTGTTGAACATACCTTTTTTAAACATTTCAATTGTGATAAATATTGTACATATGCATATACATAAAGCATCTAGCTTGAGTTTATTAATAATTACAAAGCAAACACCAATATATAGTTTATCCACCATCCCAGTCAAGAACAGAGCAGAGGCCTCTGTACATGCCCATTCCCATTCATTCTGTTTATCAATTGTGGTTTTCTTTATTTTTACACAACAATAGAAAGATGGCTGAAAGGCTTGGGAAACCCACCCCACAAAGGTGTGTTTAATTTCATCAGCAGTCATGGAAATGCAAGTTAAGACAATATTAACACTAATGTCTCTCCAGATTGGTGGGAACTCACACACTGTTGATGGGAGTATAAATTGGTACAAGAATTTTGTAAAATAGTGTCACATTATATTGTAAAGTTGAAAGTATATATAACCTATGATTTAACTATTCCATTACTGGGTTTTTCAAAGCCTGGATCAACTTGGACTAGAAGCTAAATCTCCTTTCTTGAAATTTTGGGCTCTTTCTACAATTCTCTCTCCAAAGCCTGGATCTTTCCCTGCCCACAAGATTCTTTCTCATCTCTTTAGAGTTCCAATTATTATTTCTATTTTACTCCCTTGACACTGGCCACATATGCCTTGAATTGTTATCTATCTTGATGTATGTGTCCTGTTTCATTGCACTGCTTGCATGTTGCTCCTGAAGCAAGAACAGTGTCATGCAGCACCTGGTTCCTTCACAATGTGAGCACCCTATCTCTCCTGCAGCTTGTGCCCACTAACCACTGTATGAAACTTGGCTATCTCTGTGGGCTGCAGCATTCAAAGAGCCAACACTAACTATCAAGGCTAAAACAAATGTGCTCTGGTCCATTTGTGTTCCATTGAGTATGGGGGAAATTGCTGCTCAGTTGCTGAACACTGAGTCATTAATCTCCAAGTACCTTACATCAGATACCCTATATTCAGGAGGATTTACTTTGTTGAAGAAAGAATTACATCTTATAGTCTTATATTTGTATTCTCCAGAGTGCCTTTCCACACAGTAGGAACTTATCATGAAAGAGTATCTGTGAATGATTCATACATCAAATAAGTCCTCTTTGAAATTTACTATAATATAAGGCTACTTTTCTCAGATAATTGGGCAAAGAAGGCAAGACTGGCTCCTCTTGTTAACAGCAGACAGTCAAGTTAACAGCTCAAAGCTTTGGTTTCCTCAACTGCAAAATTAAAGCACAAAAATCTGTCTCATGGTGAACAAATAAGGATAAAAATGTCTTTTGACACATCAAGAAATTTCTGGAATTTACAAGATGAGTAAGAATCAAGTAATATTTGGTTGTCTGTGAGTTTAAGCAAGTTAAATTGTGGGAATCGGGGTTTTCTATTATAAAATGAGAGGGTTGGTTTAGATTATTTTTAGAAATTCTTTGAGGGTTAAAGAGTTGTGATTCTGCAATACTAGCCTCAATTGTCAAGAACTCCTAATATTTTATTTTTTTTCTTTTCCTATACATAAAGCTAAACAAATCATCTAATGCACAAAGGTGGTCTCCTATTTGGATTAATGTGTTTTCACATTCTATTCTCAAACATTTCAGAAAGGGGGGTTCTTCTATGCTTTTCCTGCATTATCTTGATCTACAGGCCTGACTCACATTGCCTCTCACTCATCAGACCATTCCTGAAGGGAAAGGGTGGTGTCATTAATAGCCAAATGGGCATTTGGCTTCCATTTGACAGATTTCCCATGTGGAAGTGGAAAAGCTCCTTACAGGAATGTGTATTCTGGCAACAAGACATCTCCTTTTGCGCAGCTTCTGCAAATGGATTCTCATGTAGTGAAAGCTTGAAATTTGTCTGCTGTGGATTGGGAGTTTGGAGGAAAGAAAGTTAAACCATGGATGAAAATAAAGTTTTGGATTTGGACAGGGTGGAGAGAAGTGAGAGTCCTCAAAAATGGTAAATACAGGGACAGATAAATGTAATTTATTCCAGTAATTCCAGTAATCTCAGTATATCAAATACACATCATGACAAAACTTCTTCATATACTTTATTAAATGTATCTTCACAGTTTGTCCTGTATGTTGTGTTAAAAGAGATGAAATGACTCTTGGAGGTCACACAACTGATATGAAGAATAAGAATTTTCATTCAGTTTTTATATCAGAGCTAGTACTCTTTTATCCCTATTTGCAGTTAACTGTTACACTGTGGGATGACTTCAACAGAAAATTGAAATATATAGACATTAAGCCTTTCACTCTTAGAAGATCCACAAACATTTTTGCCTTAACTGAAAATGGTAGAAAGAAAGAAGCATGCCCAGAAACACACTTAACTATGTAATGCCATAATTACAATATACAAACTATAGACTTTAATTTTTTTTATGGAGACCTAATGGCTTAGTGCTGAGGAAAGTTCTTGTTTGGGCTGAAGACAGAAAGAATTTGAGGAGGAAGAAAGAGGCGGGGGAGAAAGGAATAGAGGAAGTAGAAAAAGAGGAATAGGAAGAAGAGGAAAAGGAGGCAATTCCATCAACCAAATAGGAAAAGAAACTAAGCTAAGACTAGAATGTGCTCAGTGCTTGAATAGCAAATCTCCAAATTTGGGTACCTTAGCTTTATTTCTTCTGTAAGTCACTGAGAAGGACTTCTACATGTGGTGGATCCTGACCTTTCAAGGCTGATCTATGTGTGTTGCTGGGTAGGCTCCATTGTTAAAAGGGGAAGCAGGAAAATGGATGAAGCAGATCTAGGTTATCATGGCCTGGGATCCAGGAGAAACTCCTGATCTTTTAGGAGATGGTGGCCTTATGCTGGAAAATCTTCTCCTACAAACTAGCCTCATGTTCCAAAATTCTTTCTTTGCTCCTTTCTCCACAAGACTCATGATCAACCCTTCTTAGACTGACACTGCCTTGTGCATAATAGAATTTGATCATCTCAAAACTAATTTTCTTGATTTAGCACATCAAGATTTCTGGTTTTCAGATGTAAAATATCCAATTTTTTTTTGTGTGTGTGTGTGTGTTATCTTGAAATCATGAAAAATTGGGTGACTTAGACTAATTGTAGCTATAAACACCATCAAGCAGTTGATATGTGAGAAGTTAAATTAATCTGCACACATATTCACTCACACCCTCTAGCACATGAAATAAGACCTGCTGGTAGACTTGCATTGTGCGTCATAATGCCTTTCCTATCTTAAGAATGCAATTTCCACAGGCTTTCTTATTCTCAGAGCATCTAATTGCAGAACATCAGAAAGCAACAGGGATCCAGAGGTGAACTGATTATTGAAGAGAAAAAAAAAAAAACAGAGGAAAAGAGGGCACAGAGAGTTATTATGTGTGTTTTCAATAGATTCACCAAACTTAAGGGTGCTGAGAAAGGTAAGCATTTAATTCAGAAGACAAATATCCTCTTTTATAACTCTTAAGGGAAATTGCTTCTTTTTTTCCAAACCTTCTCTGCAAGTTTTAGTAATGATGTTAGAAAAGGCCAAAAGCATAGAACAGAATGCAGCTCTTTAAAGAAAGATATGTTTATTCAGGTTAAAGTTTAAACAATTTATCTGCCGAAACTATCACATACACAAGGTAACTTATTGTTTTCTACCAAGGCTGTACCAATACTTCAATGGAAAGAGATGAAGAATATGACACGCAACTGGTGAGCTAGAGTGACCTATGAGTGGGCACAGAAGGTGGGGGCTGGGAAGAATTTAATACTGGGTCACCTGACTCTTGGTCCAGTGCTCTCTAAGACATTACAACCTTCTCTAAGGAATTATTAAAAATGCTGAATCATTTTTTCAGCATTTACTTTGCAACCCATAGACCAAAGAAATAGAAAGCAACACACTGTTCATTCCAGTTGAAAAATATTATACAGGGACAATGCAGTCCTGACACCAAATTTTAATAGTGAGTGGAAATTTCTTCCCATTAAAAATAGGAAGGGGAAATTCAGTGCATTCAGCTTGTTTTCATCTTTTGCTTTAAACCATGTCAAGAAACAAATGCAAGAAGGATGTAAATGTCCCATGCTGCCATTCACCAAAAAATAAAATTATCTTCTTGAGTGAGACATTTCAAAGGGCTGCTTTTACAACATCTGTTCATAGCAGAAGTAGCCATTGTTTCTGATAAAGAAAAAACAAATCTGTCAAACCTCAAAAGTCATGAAGGCATTTAGGTCTGATATTTGAGGTATCTGCCTATTTCCTTCTCACACCTGAAGATTGGGAGTGAAGTATGTTGAGTATTTTCCAGAGAGCATTTTTCACTTCTTTGTTTCGAAGGCTGTAGATCAAGGGGTTCAGCATGGGAATCACCAGAGAATAGAACACAGATGCTATTTTGTCCATGCCCATGGACTGGCTGGAGCTGGGCTGTAAGTACATAAAGATGATTGAGCCATAGAATATGGACACTGCCGTGAGATGGGACGCACACGTAGAGAAGGCTTTTTTCCTTCCTTCAGCAGAATGTATCTTCTGAATGGTAATATATATGAAGAGGTAAGAGATGAGGATGACCAGGAAGGTGAAAAAGACATTAAAGCCAACAACACAGAAGACAACCAATTTGCTGATATGTGTGTTGGAGCACGAAAGAGCTAGGAGTGGGGGAATGTCACAGAAAAAGTGATTAATTTCATTAGAACCACAGAAGGAGAGTCTGAAGGTATTTGCCGTTTGAATGGAAGCATTGAGGAGGCCACAGGCATAGGAGCTGATTGTCAGGAGGGCACACACACCTGTGGTAACGGTGCTGGTATAATGAAGAGGCCTGCAGATAGCTGCATGGCGGTCATAGGCCATGGAGGCCAAGAGGTAAGCCTCAACAGTGGCAAAATCCACAAACAAAAACAACTGAGCAGCACAGCCATTGTAGGAGATGACTTTGTTCCCTGACTGCAATGCAGCCACCATCTTCGGAGCTACAGCTGATGAGTAAACCAGGTCTACAAAGGACAGGTTGCTGAGGAAGAAGTACATTGGAGTGTGAAGGCGGGAGTCTGAGTGGATTATCACCATGATCCCCCAATTCCCAATGAGAGTGATGAGATAGATGAACAAAAATACCAGAAGAAGGGGAACCTGAAGTTTGGGGTCATCTGTTAATCCCAAGAGGATGAACGTTGTCACTTCTGTGCTATTCTCTATTGAGGTCATCTTGAGTTTACTCTGGCAATTAAAGAAGAGAAGCCAATGATACTCAGCTGTACAAAAGGAATTTGGGGGTGTTATTGTCAGGAAGGGGGAGAAATCCCCCCTCTGCCCTTTCTACAACTGGACTAATAATAAAATAATAACATTGATCCAAGACTAGATTATTAGGGGAGAAAAATAATTTAATATGTGTGCACACAGGAGAATCATAATATGATGCTCAGATCATAAAATGAGGCCCAAATAAATGATCAAACTAGGCACTTTTTTGTACTTTTTAAGACAAAGAGACAATAAACTTATAAGAAATTGACAGGACAAGTCAGGCCCCACTAGGGAGGAATCTAAGCAAGGTTGGGCTTGGATAGTAAAGGTTATGAAGTGTGTTTTACAGACTTTTTAAACTCTGACTCGGGGTGTTTTTGTTTTTTTAGTATCATAAGTGTTTTATATACTTATTTGTACATAAATAATATTATGCATAAACAACTGTTACCTTTTTGTTTGTGGAGATAGATTCTCCAAGTATTTTTTATTTTATTTCCCAAAGGCCAGTCATATTTTTTAAATAGGAGGATGATGGCTCAACTAGAATCTTAATAAGATTGCAAGTAATCAGAAGCCTAAACTAACCAGAATTATTAGTAATGCACATATAAGGAATGATAAATGATTAGAAAACAATGTTATTCTTTTAAGAATGCATTGTATCAACACTGACAAAATTTAGCTCATTTTTCTATCTTCTAAAAATCCATACCAACACTTGCTGATTTGGTTCAGTGGGTAGAGCATCAGCTTGTGGACTGAAGAGTCTTGGGTTGATTCCAGTCAAGGGCTTGGACCTTGGTTGCAGGCTTGAACCCCAGCCTTGGTTGGGGCACTTTTGGGAGGCAACCATTGGATGTGCCTCTCTCACATCGATCTTTTTCCTTCTCTCTTCCCTCCCTTCCACTCTCTAAATATCAATGGGAAAATATCCTTGAGTAAGGATTTTAAAAAATCAGTAAAATGGGACAAGTCCCAGATATAAAGCCTGAACACCTATCTTTAAAGTTAAACTGAACTTCAAAGAGCCTTAGTTAATCTCCACTCTGGATTTTTATTTTTTAAGAGTTGTAATCAGGTTGTCACTCGGCCCTCAGGAATGGAGAGGTCACCTATCACACAGAGATTTATTTCCTGCATTTAGAGAGACAGAGAGCTCCTCTCATTCCTGCTGCTCCTCAATTCACTTTAGTTTGAAATAATCAATATGCCATTGTGGGATATCTTGGGGTATCCTGCCCTGGGTCCTGACAATATAAAAATAGAAAACTAATATATATTGAGAATGTACTATGTGTAAGGTATATGCCAGACCCTTTCATTATATAATGCTGTTAGATTAATGCTATTATACCCATTTTATAGATGAGAAAGTTAAGGCTTTGAGAGCTTAATGGTGACCAAAATAATCTAATCATTAGAGGTCAGATTCAAAGTTCACATCTTTATATTTTGAAATCCAAAGCCCATACACTCAGAGTTTGAGTTTTTCTACCTGTTTACATCATATAAAATGAATTATAATATGTCTGGTAGTATAATTTTTAAAATTTTTAATTTTTATATATACATACATATATATACACATACATATACATATACATATACATATATATAAGCTTAAGTGACCAGTTGACTGTTCAACCGGACAACCAGTAGCTATGATGTGCACTGACCACCAGAGAGCAGATGCTCAAAACAAGAACTACCTCTGGTAGTCAATGTGCTCTCACAGTGGAAGTGCCATTCAGCAAGCTTACTGAGCAGTGGCAGGCACAGATGGGCTGGGATGAGCAGGAGTGGCATGGCACCCGGCCAGACTCTGGCTCCTCCCCAGCTGCCTGCTGCTTCTCACAGGCCAGGCTGAGGGACCCCACTGGTGCACAAATCCATGCACCAGGCCTCTAGTTTTAAAATAAAAAAGAGAGAATAGAATAAAGTAAAAAGTACAAATCCTCCATTTCTTGTCTTCTTTTTTCACTTCCAAGAATATAGCTTCTATGGAGATTTCCTGACATTTTCTATGCACATATAATTACCTGATATTAATCATACTAATCACTTATTATATACCAGGCATTGTTCCAAGGGCTTTACATTCTTGGAATAATGCCTGGAATACTCATTTGGTTAATTAATTTAATTCTCACACCAACTTTTTGGGTTGATTTTCTTATTTTACACAAGGAGTAACTGTACAGATGAACATACTCCACTACCTCATTTCCAACTTGTCACCTTCACAAACAATGCCCCAAAGGATAAAACATGCAAACAGAGCATTTTGCTTTCTTACTATGTTATATCCAGCTATCATTCTAATGTTACACTTGGTCTTTTTCTGGCTACTCTCTTCTCCTAAAGTGTAGTAGCTTTTAGATGGGGACTGGAGAGCTATTATTATAAAATGATGATAATAACAATAATAATAATAAGAAGAAGAAGAAAAATTAGAACTACTGTCCAAAGTCAGATGACTGTGTTGGAAGTAGAATTCAAACCTTGGTCTGTTTGATATTATTAAATCTAGAGCTCTGAACTACAACACTTAATGTCTTTATGAGTTTACCTTTAAACAACAACTTAACTGAAAGTCATATTTGTATATTTACATGGAGATAGATATATCGCCACATCCTATCAGAAGTCTTTGTTATTGGTCCTAGTTACTTACCATTATCCTTCCTTCTCTGCTCTCTCAAAGCACAAAAGTCTTGGTAGATTATCACACAATTTGTTGGACAACCACCCAGCTTCTTAATGGGTCCTAAAGCCCTTTGGGATACAGACTGTCTTCATCTCCTCTGCCCTCCAAGCCTACCATGGTCCCTTGCACACATAAACAAATATTTAAAAGAACATCAATAGCTGAAAATGGTTTGGCTCAGTGGATAGAGCGTTGGCTTGTGGACTGAAAGGTCCCAGGTTTGATTCCGGTCAAGGGCATGTACCTTGGTTGCGGGCACATCCCCAGTGGGGTTGTGAAAGAGGCAACTGATCGATGATTCTCTCTCATCGATGTTTCTAACTCTCTATCCCTCTCTCTTCTTCTCTATAAAAAAATCAATAAAATATATATTTTAAAATAAATAAATAAATAAATAAATAAATAAATAAATAAAAGAACATCAATAGCAAAGGGTTTAAAAAAATTTTTTTATGCTAACTCTACAACAAACAGCTGATTGTTCTCTTGTCTAGTTGGATCCAAGTTTCCTGCCAAAATATTGGCTTCGACTTGTGGTATGAAAAATATTCAGAAGTAAAATGAGATTGGGGATGGGCCGGCCTAGAGAAAGGCTGGTGTCCTGATGTCCTAATTCTAGGGTACTGTCTCTCTCATTGTTTTTCCTCAGCCTGAGGTGTTTATAGGCCTGGTCACAGAGTGGATGGCAACAGGCCTGGTCACAGAGTGGATGGCAACAGGCCCAGACAAGGGTTGGGTGTGGAGCAGCCCAGCCTTTCCTGCCAGGACAACAATTACACACACAGTATGTGGCTGGCATCCTAAGAACTGCCTCAACCAGCTTATGAACCACTACTGGTCAGGAACCAGGATGCCATTTCACTGCTTGTTCCCAATGTTTCACCTAAAAGCCATGCTCCAGAGAATACCCTCAGATATGTCTTCTCACCCTTCTTTCTCTTTCCTTAGAATAAATTCCTAGAATTCTATACTTTTCATCCGCTTTTTGTTTATTGGTAGAGTTCCATCCAACAATGTGCCAATTGACTTTCTTTTCTTTTTTTTAATATATTTTATTGATATTTTACAGAGAGAAAGGGAGAGAGATAGAAACTACTTGTAACAGATTATAGGACACTGTGTCTGTTAGACCTTAAACTAGTCACTTTATCTCACATAGAAACGTCGATGAGAGAGAAACATCGACCAGCTGCCTCTTGCACACCTCCTACTGGGGATGTGCCCGCAACCAGTGTACATGCCCCTGACCGGAATCAAACCTGGGACCTTTCAGTCCGCAGATCGACACTCTACTACTGAGCCAAACCGGTTTTGGCAATGCCAATTGACTTTCTAACCAACAGAACTTCTTGTTACATTTATTCATTCCTTTTAATTATTTTTCTTTTGACGTTTGGCATATGCATTACTCCTTAACTTAACAGACACAGTGTCCTATAATCTGTTACAAGTAGTTTCCTGATCTTACCTATTAGAAAACTGAGGTATGTGATGTCCTTCAAGGTCACACAATTACTTAACTGCAATATCTATACAATGCTTCAGAGCAGAACTTTTCATCCTTGGCTCTATTAGCATTACAGCTAGACAGTTCTTTGGTTGGAGGTGGGGTGGGGGCTGGGGAGGCTGGCCTCTGCATTGCAAGGTATTTAGCTGTATCCCTGCACTCTACCCACTTGATGCCAGTAACACCTCCCTTCCCCAGTTGTGACAACCAACATTGTCTACAGACACTATCAAATGTTTCCTGGGTGGGGTTAGGGGAAGGCAACAATATCGTCCCTAGTTGAGAATTCTAGAGTCTTTAAAACTCTGTTTTTCCTTTTTCATGTACCAGTAATCACAACTATTTCATGAGCCACATATTTTATATATTTTACAGCATACATATATATTTTATGTCTATGTGAGATAAAGTGACTAGTTTAAGGTCTAGAGTACCAGCCAAATATTGCCGCATTGGTGGGGGGAGCCAAGAAGAGAAAACTCCTTGATGAGTACTATGGTTTTTTTACTAAAGAGATATTCACCCTCTTACCTTGTAAACCAACCACTTTCCCAATACAAGCCAGAATAAGCGACCTGGGAAAACTCCAAGAATGAAAAGAATGAATTTTGAATTCTATTCCAAAATACCTTCTCAAATGCTTAATCAATAAATTTCATTTTATTACTGACCACCCAGTTACATTCAGCTATAGGTCTGATGTCTAACAGTTATCACACAATGCCTATATTAAACTGCCCC